CTTCTGTTTTACTTTCTCCATAATATATTTACCACAATAACTCACGGTTATATAATATTTTGATTGTAACGAATGTTAGTTGCTTGTCTAATAATCCCATCGGTTGCTTATTGAGTTCATGATGGGTGTCATGATGCAGGTTGTCAGCTCCAAATAACCCAAATCCGACGGAAAAATCTCAACTATACACCTCAACAAGTTGTTTTCGTTTGACCTCCAGTTAAACAATTCAATTAAACAAAATTCAAAGGTGATAACGTAAGCGGTTTACTCAAAAAACGACTGAGATCGGCAATTGCGCGAACCCAATATGCAGCTGACCCCCAAATCGTCTATCGGACAACTAGAATACCCACACCCCCGGTAAAAGAACATCTGCCTCTGTACGCCAACTCTAATCTGATTTACCAATTCCAACGTGGGCAGAACAGAGCGACAGTTACGTAACCGGGTTGTTGAACATATTCCAAATTGGGTTCAAAGTCGGATGACGCAATCTGGGTCAAGTCCGCAACATAGAATCAACGGTCGAAACTACAAGACTCCGTCGTCAGCCATAGCTCGACATCTTCTGATGACGCAACACCAGATCGACCGAAGCATGGCGTTCCGAATTATTTACAAGTTACATACCGCAAGATTGCTACGGTTTGCAGAAGCGATTGCTATCAGTCGATTGAAGCCCCCCTTGTGTCAACAAAAAGAACTTTATGTTTGTTTATCCTTACCCTGGTGATAGTCTTTTTTACCCCTCCCCCTTTTATGTTTTTTTTCTGTTTCACTGTATTTTACTCATCTTTGTTGCCATGCGAAATCCCTATTTAAGTATTGGATTTTCTGCAGTATGCACCATGTTGAGATGCAGCGAAATCGTCCTGGACGTAAATCGTGCAGTATTGCAATTTGGTCTTTTCTTTTCAAATTTTGTTTTACAAAACGGAAGAACTGAAACACCCATTTCCTTTACCTCACCCTGACGGAGTAGCGATGAAATATTGCATCGGTATTGATGGAGGGTGTATAAAACGTTTGAGTCAAAATGAAGTGGGATAATACTGTACATGTAAGTTGGTAGAGTATGCACGTACAAACCATAGGCGGCCTCCATGCGTGGGTTCGAATCCCACTTAGGCTACTGAACGTTTTACAATCGACATATATTATGGTATTTGATCGACCTGCGTACATTCCTACAATGGTCAACCCGTATCGAGTATCTTCAAAATGCATCAAGTGCCTATGGCTGAAGACAAGATCGGTGAACGTCTACTTGAAATTGATGCAACAGAATACATAACTTGACAGTAACAATGGGGCAGATTGTGGAGTAAACCTCGTCTGATGATGGTGTGACATATCTATAGCGGATTATGGAGCTCTCCTGCAAAGTGCTCAACATGGCTCAACACGTGTCCGAAATATCTGTTCTAAGTGTATTTGTTGCGATTATCACCAGAGCGTACCCGATGTTGGACGAAATCTCACGAAGTCTTCTGTGGTGTTGTACTCACAGTAGCCGGAGAGCAATGTTTTTGATTCCGATACCGATTTTGTAGAGAGACGAAGTTATAAATGTCAAGCAATCTGACTTAACACTAGTCCAATTAACATGTATAGAGATATGAGAAATGCTTATGTTCTTTTAAACAAGGTATACAGAATAAGAACTTTGAACACGTCTCCCGATATAGCCACACGATGCCTGTATGTTTATGAACCTGTCGTCGTAAGCATTAAGCAATTCTGTGGGGTAAATCTTATACTAATATATTACACATGATACCTCTCCATATTGTATCATGAAAAGTTTCGGGAGAAGTAGATGATATACTCACCTGTTGTCTCATTGTGGGGTTTGTTTATAGTAGAACCCGGTGTGATCTCAATCACGTGAGTGAGGACTTCTCCGGGTGAAACTGGCAAGCATCTCTTGATCCACTTCAACGGTGATAAACATATATATGAACCTGTCACACAGTCAACAGATGCGCGAGTAGTTGGGTATAAAAGAACACAGATCAATGCGCGTTGAAGCAGTATTAGTCGATGGGGTATATGCCTCGGAGTGAATGGAATTAGTTGCAAAATGTCCCGGTACGAAAATGGCTCACCAGGATGACGTACTGCTATCATTAAATCATTTGTACCCAGGTTGTCTAAATAAGTATTTGTTGACTGGTTAATATCAAAGCGATCGATACTTTAATCTTTAACATAAATGTTTTTTAAAATTTACTGTGAGAATGAGACTGAGGAGAAATAGAACAAAGTAAACTTAATTTAACAGTGTTTTCCCAAATCAACAATTGGGGTTTTGGCTTTTCAGCCAACAGTTTCATCCGTCGAACTGTGTTTTATCATTGTGTTAGTGAGCAGTGGCTTAGAACATGTACTGTTTTTTGCTGTGGAGAAGGACCAGCGATGCAAACTATGGAAAGAATCCGATCTATTAGACAGTATTGATACCCAATGGGCCATAACATAGCGGTTTTCAATTCAAACCCCATCGCGGTCGCCAATACTCACTATTTCTGCAGTTTCCCAGGCAGTAGTTGTTTGACCGCAGTCCCCTCTCTGACGGTTGAATGCACATTTTTAAAGTCAATAAATGAACAAATGAAGCAAAAAACATTTATTTATTATTCATTTATGAGAGTTGATTGTTTACTATGAACTCTACAGTAGATAATTAATTATTGGCGCTCCGTTTGCGGAAACACATAAAAGAATGTTTTACTAAGGCTAAATTCATAGACAGAAAACCTGGATGAAATACGAAATCAATGTTACGTTCGGTGACTGAATACAAATAACATGGTTTGAAGACGCACAATGTTAGATTTCCATGATAAAAAAGCCTCTCTAACGTGATGAGTCCGTTGAAACCAATACTGTGGAACAACAGATTGCCAGGAACACAAGCGATTATTTTGATAAGCGTGTATATTTGCTGAAATGCGCACCGCAATTCAATGCTCATCGTAGACTTCAGCGTGAGTTTCACAGTTTTGAACTATTTTTAAGCTGTGGAACCAATTCTAGCTTTGTGATCACACCGTCTATTTGAAGGTGAATGTGGACAGAATGATTTCTGAGGTTTGGGGGAAGGAAAGTCAATGTAATCAGAGAAGCACAATCACTGAGTGCACAGTCAATTGACCGGGGGCTTTGCAAAGCTTTTACTACCATGAAAACGGAATTGTCACGCAATCCTCCGGACAGGTGGAGGGTGTGCTACACTGACTCAATGAAGTGAGCAATGTTTTACTATTACTACACTTGAAAGGGTTATTGTGGTGCAAAAAGGCAGACTTGATCCAACCTTTTTACCTGGATAATAAATTGAATGTGAAATGGATTGCACTAGGCAGGCAATAGCGTTGACGCTTGAACGCTTCAGACGGTACACAAACTGAATCAAGTTGATACACAAGGAGCACGTGAAAGCGCTAAATACCATGCGTTGAGCAGTTTATTTCAGTATCAACACTAAGATTATTACTTCTTCGGGACCAGAGGGGATTCTACCATTCTGCATTATGTCAAGTTCCGTACACCTCGTATGTCGATTATTAAAGGAGTCTGAAAACCTTGGCGCAAAATAATTCGCGTGAGGTTTTAGAATGCTAGGGGGAAACCAGTAAGGACTAACAATCTTACTGCGGTTAGTAAGTTTCAGCTCATGAAGGAAATCTTACTGGTTAGTAGTAACGACATAAAGTGAATGAATTCCAATGGTGTATTAGCAGGTAAAATTGATTGGCGTCACATGCATGGGAACAGAAACCTTCGCTGACGTTGGTGAATATAATTCTCCACCGAAATCGCTGTGTTGTTAACGTTATAATATTCACAATTTGAGGAAAACTGTCCCTTCTTACCCGACCGATGTTAATCCAGGCCTTTGTTTCTTTATTTGTGACCAGCCACATGGGCAGAATGATCAAGCAGTTATCTTCGAAAATCGCGAATAGAGGAACACAAACAACCACATCAGAAAGGCATATCAACTGTTCTCTCTAACTTTCAAACAAAACAACCTAAAGTGAGTGACTCTGGTGTTACTAGAATCAATAAACTCTGTCTCCTTGCAAACGGTTTGCACCATTTCAACAAATCACGTTGCTTGAGCGTCTTGGGGAGACAAACACGTGCAGAACAGTTTGTTCCTACATCACTTGCTTCAAACGTGAGTACCGGTCTATTCCTATTTCGTTTTCGGAATGTATCCATTGATCATAACCCCCACGTTTTAATCCATGTATTAGTTAACCCAGCGGGTGTAACAGTCCATAAGTTACAATAATACATTAACTTATGAACCAGTGCATTTTCTTATGGTCATTAATTATTGGTATATAATAAAAGTAGTTCAGACGGATATTTTATAAGTTATTATACGTATAGAAAACAACTTATGGTGTGCCATAACTCGAAAAATGGATTTCCTTAACTGCAATTCACCTTTCATCAGTAAGTCAAATTCGTGCTACGTTTGTTAGCGTCTGTCGATGAAATTCCTCACATTCCTCATACATCGCTCGTCTACACATTTTGTTTAACGTCTAAGCACTGTGGAATTAAATTTATCAGCCATCTTTTTAGTTTTAAGCCCGAGTGCGATAGGTTTCTACCATTCGGGAGAATGACCAGATGCAGGTAGCATTGTGTTGAAAGGTTAGGGTTGATATACAAATTGCAGATTCCATTCAACAACTCACTTTTCACTGGCATCATTTTCCACTAAGCGAAAAAAATCGTCGCAACACGGAATTTAGCTATTCTGATTGGTGTCTTTACACCCAGACAAATAAGTCGTTCCGTGGGAAATTAACCAATGAGAAAGCTCCTTGCACTCTGGGATCCGTGATTGGTAATTTCATGAGAGTCATGGGCACCTCGCACGAACATATATTGACTATTTGCAAATAATTTTATATACAGATATAAATCCACATACCATTAAGAAAGCTGAGTTATTTTATTTTATAGTCCGCACAATGGCAGACCCTTATTCTTTCTTGTCAACGTACCCAATACAGTCGGGATTTGTGCTTCTGATACTGTGTCTGACTATCTCTCCAGTTAAATCAAGCACAGCTGAGCCGGAAGTTACTCTTTCACACGGAGGAAAAGTACGCGGAAAGACAGTAGCTGTGACCATCGGCGGTTCGCCAGTAAACGTGGATCATTTTCTCGGAATTCCGTTTGCTAAACCACCTGTTAACACCTTACGATTCGCGGATCCGGTAAAACACCAAGGCTGGTCGGGAACAAAATACACTGTTTCACTTCCACCGACATGTTGGCAATATTTGTTCCTCGGATTTGACCAAGCTAATCCGGGAGCACGCATGTGGGCAAACAACACGGAAATGAGCGAGGACTGCCTCTATTTGAATGTCTGGAGGCCAACGGGTACTGGCACTACGAAGCTGCCTGTTATGGTTTGGGTATACGGTGGAGGTTACACCACCGGTACATCAACCATTGAGGTTTATAACGGACAATATTTGGCTGCCAAACACAAAATTATTATTGTGTCGATGCAATATCGTCTGGGTGCGTTCGGGTTTTTACGGATCGATCCTTCACCTTCGCGATTTCGAAAGGGATTGGACAAAGTGGCTCTGGGCAATATGGGGCTGAAAGATCAATTGCTAGCGTTGGAATGGGTGAAGAGTGAGATTGACTTGTTTGGTGGTGACCCAAGTCAGGTGACTGTGTTCGGGGAGTCCTCCGGTGCAGTGAGTGTATCCGCCTTGTGGACTTCACCGAAAACCAAGAATCTATTCAGACGTGCCATCGTTCAGTCTGGGGCGATCATTTCACGATGGGGCCTGCACGATTTGAAAATGGCCAACCATCGAGCAGCTGTGGTAAGTGGATCACACCAGTTTTGAACTTTTTTTAAAAATTTACTGAGGGAGAGGCAACGAACTGTTGGCTACATAAATTTTTCNATAAAGCAGCCTAACCAACTATAACATCGCTTATCCCTTGGTTGATTTGGATCAAAAGTTATGAACTTTCTAAACTATTCACTTCAACTTTTCGCGTCTATGGCATGAAAAAACATTATGGTTTCTACACAAACACATACTAAATGTGTGTAATCTAATTACGAAGGGTAAATGTATAGGAGGTCAAAAACCACATTGATTTTAGTTTCATCATACCGCCATATTTAATCGATATGCAGCAGATGTGCAATCAATATTTCGAAGAAAACAATACCGAAAGGAAAGAGATATTTGTAATGAGTGCGCACGTACGAACACTGGAACTATGAAATGGCCGATTATAACCGATAACTTTTATTTAACCTTCATAATCACAAGCAGCTCAAAACCGTGAAGTGAAACAGGTAAACACAGTAGGATCGAGTCATATAGAAAGAAAATCCCACAGATAATTCCTGGGGGATTTCACTGAGAGTAGAAGATTTTCTGTATAGGTAAGTCAGCGAATGCATGTATTCCGTATGAAACATTTTTGAAAGTGCAGTGGTGACGCAGATTTCGCCTACTTGCCTGATTCATGAACCATAGGTATGCAAGCTAGACATTATTTACACAGGTGGTATAGGAGTAGCTGTTTGGTCAACAAAACATATTCCTTGCTATCTCTCCGGTGTGTAGAATGCGTCCGATTGCAGGAAATCCTAAGAGATTTGGTAATAAACATATTTTATGTATTTCATTATTTGGTACAAAATAGTTGGTGAAATGAATTGTTTCTTTTTGTGGTTATATTTAGAACCATTCGCAGCGGAAAATTATTCTATTAACTTGTATAGAGAAGTGTGCTTTTGAAAATCAGCTTAATGGAAAGTTTATTCATGGGTGAATTTCAGTTTGGTGGGTTCAGGCAACCCGATCTTGCTAAGCCCTTGCAGTACGAATGACTGTTTGTTGTTTCTTCCTCTTTATATCAAATTGTGAATTATAATCAAAACGATGTTACACACTGTCAATACATCATGCTTTATTTTGCAAGCATTAAACTGCCTCATAGTTAAAGAGCCTATCACGGTGTATGCCTCCACGTCGTTTTTTGGGCACAGTAAGGAGCTCACAAATTTCTTAAGATTTACGGAAAATCTGCTTTGCTTGTTCCACTAGAAAGCGCTGTTTGCCTTCAGCGACTCCCGTCTCGGAATATGCCATGTAAAAGCAGCTGTTGTTTACTTAGTGTCACCACTGATTATGATTCTATTGCATTTAATGAACTTCACAGATTCAACAATAAATTCCCATGTGCCTTAAACATGTGTCTGGGCAAAGGTGAGTTACTGAAGAACCCAGCTCAGCAATTCTTCACTATGCTCTCTTTGAAGTGCATATTGGATCTTTGCCCCCCCCCTGTTTGAAATCCGTTTAATTATTCTTCCTGTCGTGTTTAAAGGGAAAAGTTACAAAAGCCCAGCCGGGAGGGGCTGGGGGTATAGACAATGCACCAATTGAGAATGATTCAACGCTGCCATGTAGTTAAGTCAAGTCAATAGTAGTTTTTTGTTTTTGTTTTCATTTGACAAATAGTAAAACCACTAATGCTGATGCTCGGTGAAACTTTGTAATACTCTTCTCCACTGGTTCTAGTATGCACTAGAGATGCCATTGGGGTATATTTAGGCCTCAACATTACGCAGGGCATATGGAAATGTTTAGTGACTTTGTGCGAATAGGTATGATGAATCAGGTGAACAATGAGAACCTACTGTGGGATTCTGATCATTGCTTGCGTGAATGCGTAGATTGTTCACAAGGGCGAGAGAAAGTCATACTGTGAGGGTTATTGTCTGTTAGTGCTTCTGCTGGTAGTGTAGGTCAGAGTGAAATCGCGGAGTGAAGCAGTATCCTCCGTTTTGTCTTTGAAGCGAGCATGAGCATATTGCAGATCGCGTTGCTAAGCTCTACTTTGTCTACCAATGTGTCATTTCCATGCTGACCAATAAAATGAACGTTTTACCTCAACAGGACGTTTTACCTCCTTGAGCTAAAAGAAAAAGATTAGACATAATGGTAAAACGAAGCCGTTTGTAACACAGAGGGATACAATGACGCTAGTGGTTTGTTTTACTTTTTAGTGCAGAATGACATCGTTGAAGAGGCTCAGAATAACGCATTGGTAGTTAAACTTCCCTTGATCGATTTACGCAGTCAAACCCGTGGCATCAAGGTTGAATTGACCAGAGATGGTTATTCTTGTGTTTATTTAAGATTTCGGATTGACTTGACGGTGCCATGTGATTCTTTCTTCATAGCAGATTGACGCCAGACACCAAAAGAAAGGAAGGAAAGCCACTAATCTTCAATTCTGGGTGAGCGTATTATCAGTAACCAGGTGCGTCTATTATCAGGATTACTAGGATTGAATCACTTATGGAGAAGGCAGATTTTTCTATTTTCAAAAGAGTTGGCAATACTTCCTGATACGGGATAGCAGTATTTTAACAAACCGGGTGTATCTTGTCAGAAACGTTAGGGCTCCAGGAGCGGTTTTGTGCTGTCCTATGCAGATAGCTATGATCTTAAGTCGTTCTATTTGGTGACATTTTCTTTGGAAGGTAGTCCGCTGGAGTCCAGTTGAGTGGTATCATACCACGGTTGGAAGTTAAGCAGCCGTAACTCTTGAATCGACCGAGGATTATGCTCTTGTTTGTTATTGAATGATGTTTGTCATGGAGCATTATTTATTTCGTATTCAGTTCTTCTTCCGTTACACCACATATACGTAAGCGAATGAAGTGTTCCACTTACTCTTCATCTTTTGTTGTTCAACCAACCTCTCTCTTTGGAAACATGTAGCTCCATTGGTTAATCCAAAGGGTACATGGAAGAGGTTATATAAACTTCCGAATGGTTAAAGGTTGCGCATTTTTCGTTTTCATCGATCGATGTCTGTATCCACAGTCCTCAATGAGACCATGAATCCTGGGTAGAGTGTGTGCCAGCGTATGCGTGTAACCATTCATAGTCTGAATATCATCCACAAGAATTCAGTGTTTGGGGTTTGGGGGGTAGTAACTTGGACCGGAGATCGTCACGCAGATTCAAACGATTCAATTATTTCATCTATATAACATGAATGAATATTTTGTCGGTAAATATGGGAGTGCGATTTATTGGCATTTGGTTTGAAGTAGGAGTTATTGCCGAATGGAGATAATAGATCAGCAGTTCTGTAGCCAAAATTTCACGAAGGGGTAGCGGTGAACAGCAACTGAAAGATGCTATGTCAATGCGACAAATCGAAACAGTGGTACCTGCGGAAATTGAATTTAATCACAACAAGAAAATAGTCATTGGGGAACGTAGTTAGATGTGTGCTAAGCATGGGGATTTAACTGCTTGATTTAATGACATGGATCAGATTATTGGAATAAAGACGACTCCGATGAAGAGTTATTTGAGCTTCTCGAACCTCAGCACATGATTGGTTTCGACGACTTCGACTGCAGCATCTAAAACATGATTAGCCTTGAAAGTAGTTGACTTCGCGAACGGAGAGGATCCCAGCTACGAAGCTGAATCATTAGAGGCGGAGCCCTAGATGTTTTGATCAACAGATAACTTTGAATCATAGGAAATATCATTTTCTACTTCGCCGGATAAACAGGACATTCCTACTAGTCTTTGAATCAAGTTTAGGCTAATTGAAATTAGAGGCGCTTCAAATACTTCGTATCGGAGTAGACAGCAACTTTTTCGAATCCGTTTCGAGTGCTTGGGCTTTCTAGAAGTTGGAAACCTCTTGAAACAGTCATTTATTTCTGATTGGAGAATAAAGTCCAGTTTTGAAGTCATCTTAGAGAGCATCATCGTGATTATTCTTTGTTACTACTGTATAGAACTACAATATGTTACCAATAAATTTACAATCTGCTAAACTTAATCTAGTTTCCCTTCTTTAGTCAATAAATGTCGTGAGAAAACCTCATTTCCTGTCTGAAATTCAGCATTTTGAGAGTCGCAAAAGTTGCTGGGTTGCTGGCACCTTTTGTAATGCGAATACAGACACGACATGACACATAGTACTCAGAGTTTTCCAGTTTATTTGTCTGGATAGATTTAATGATCCCCAAGAAGACACTGAATGTGTCGATCCAATGGGTCAATTTATTAGGGTTTTCTTGGATCAGTGTAGAAACGTTCATTTCAAAGTATTTGGCATATTGTTTGTCAAATAAACAATTAAATGGTCAGTTCACTACAACGTACCGATTTAGAATGAAGCAGTATTTTCATGTAGGTGTTATTCGACAGATGATAAACTGCATTATGGTTGAAATGTAAAGGAAAATTGCATGATTCAGAACCGCCCAAGAGGATTTGCACATGCAGTCAAATGAACCGCTGTAGAACATTGATCTGACCTGGTTACAGCAAACTCTCCAAATGTTTAGCAAAAGGTTTCTCCCAAAAAAGGCAAAAGACAAATCCCCTAAACTGTAAACTATCAGTCGCTCTACGGATCGATTTCAAAATGTAAGCCGTGAAATGTTTGGTTGTGTGAATGGAATGATTTTATCAGCCTTCAACGATATTTATCCGCATTTCTACACAACAGGGATTTTAGTGATTTACTTTATAAAGTGAGTGATAAATACCGCGAAACTTCAATTTTTATATAGTACCTCAGCAATTATCAGATATTCTGAATCAATAACAATTTAGCGGAAAGTCTTATCCTATTACAATCATATTTTGGGTGGTATGTCGGACAGATTTTCAGTCTGATTCCTAGAGATTCATTTTCCGGGATCAAAACAGCAGAAAAACAGTCTGATAATTTCAGCTTCTTCGCCACTTTCCCTGATGTGCAATGGACAAGTCAGACCCAAAGCCATATTAGATGTATGCAGAAAGAAAATCCG